TTGGAGTTGGTCCTGGGAGTCAGTGGATAGACGCCGTGTGATTGCACAAGTGGGGTGTGTACCCACGTGGACAGTCAGCCACGCCGTCGGGCATGCATGGCCGTGCAACTCAGGTTCAAGTGCTCACCTGACTCCGCCTTGGTGGCCTGGACTGCGTCTTTGCGTCAGTGACAAGCTCTCAAGGTGATGCGGGTGTGGGTGGCTGTCAACCCACCCCAGACAGGCGGGCTGCAAGGTCAGAGAAATGTCCCCAAGTCTCCCGGGGTGGCTTGGCATGCGTGGGGAGAAGCAGGAAGCATTTCGGGGACAGCCCAGTGGGAGAAGGGTCCCTTACAGTTGTCCCTGGGCAAGGGTGGCATCAGGACCTCCCAGGAGTCTTGGGCATTTCTGTGGGAGGGGCATCTTCAAGGGTCCCTCCACTGCCCTGGGCATTTTCTTTTTTAGAGATGGGCCTGTGGGTGTTTGTCTCTCTCCTTGGGCTCTGCTGGAGGAAAGGGAAGGGCTCGCACAACTCTGAGTGCCCTGGGAGAGAGGGGAGAAAGGTCCGAAAGATCAAACCCAGTCTGGAGGGGACACACCCCAGTGAAGAATTCCTTGGGATCAGAAGAGGAAGGTTTCCACCTGATCCGGGGGAACACAGGAGGCTGCTCGCTCTTACTGCAGAGGGCTGACTCCCCCAGAGATACCGAACTACCCAGATGTAAAAGACCCCTGGCTGCTGGGTCGGGACCACCTCAATCTCTCCACCCTAAAGGCCTTTCTGCGGTTCGAGTCCTGGACCCAGAGACTTAAAACTCACTCAGGTATGTGTGCCTAAAATTCCGAGAGGAGAATAGAGGAGAAGGGATTGAGGTGTGGCCATCCCCCCTGGGGGGGTGATTTCTCACTCTCTTTCTCTCTGTCTCTCTATCTGTCCAGTGAGTGCAGGTGCCCTATAGCAAAAATCTCTCTCTCAAAAAAAAAAAAAATCCGAGTCCCCACCTTTAAAGGCTGATATAAGTCTCCTAATGTGGCCCCTTTAATTCTTTGTGAAGAGAATAAATCCTTTTTTCTCTTAAAGAAATTATTTCATTTAACTTTATTTATTTATTTATTTATTTTAATTTTTACCCGAGACAGAACAGGGGGTGGGGAGCGAGAAAGTAAGCCACCAGGTCAGGGATTCGAACCACAGTCGGCCGTGTGGGAGTCCAGAGCCCTTAACCCCCACGTCACCTGCCGGCCCCAAGAATAAACCCTTTTTGTCTGCTTAGTCTCACTTACTCTTGGATATGGTAAATTCCTTCTCAGTCATAGCAACACAGCTCTCCCTAACACCTGGCCGTGGTCTGTGTGTGGTCTGTAGTCTGTGGTCTGTGGTCTTCCATGAAGACGTTTCAGTTTCCAAAAGTCACCCTCAGTCTGCAAACAGGTGAGTGTAGTACCATAAAATAATCTGAGATACACAGAGAGAGGGACAGACCACCCTCATGTCACTTTTAATACAATGCCTTGTTATAACCCTTTCCTTTTTTTAAAAAAAGAGAGATTTTTCTATAGGGTGTGTATGCTCGCCACAGAGATAGAGAAAAAGCAAGAAGTGATCCCCGGGGCGATGGCCATGCTGCAATCCCGTCTCCTC